TGGATTTCAAAAGCGTTGTAAATAACAGGCTAAAGCATTCTCTTCACCAATATCATATATCTACTTACGTGATTTCAGTTAACAAATTAACATTTTTTTCAAGAATATTATTGCTATTGTTCAAAACTGACGTCACTTAGCTGATAGAGAACAGGAACAATCAAAAAATTTATTATATATAAAAACTTCTTTAGATTCACTATATATATATATCATCAATAAGTAATGTTTTACGATAGCAGAAAAGAATCGATCATACTTTTCCTTCTTTAATAATCAATTTGTTTCTTTGTATTGTATTTTGTTTAAAGTCTTTTAAACAATAAAATTTTAAATGTTATTAATTATGTATCTTAAATTGAAACTAGATTATGATCATTTATACGAGTTATTACCGTAATTGCGAGTTGTTTCGACCTATTGTTCGTGGTATTCTATTCTTTGCACTTAAACATTTTATTTAAATTAGTTATACATACTAGTCAGACTTTCACAATACATAGAAGAGTTTAGAGAGCAAACTACACAAATGTTAGAAAGTTAAACAAGCAAATCCAAATAGCTGTTCTTCATGAAAAATTTCTATTGTTTTTCCTCAAACAAGTTTAACAACAACTGTTTTCACTTGATAGTATGCTTCGAGACCATATTGACCTAATTCTCTTTCCTGACCTGATTGTTTAAAGTCATCAAATAGTGCTTGATTAAATTTGTTGTCCTTATGAATACATTTAGTATATCATTGTCAACATATGTCAGTATAAAAAGAAAGCTTACGGTACAAGAAAGTAGAAACTTTAGCTAGCTGCATCGTGCTTAAAATTCATGTCATATATCGATTACTACACTAACTGATGACAGATGATTGTGTTTACTGATTCTCTATTGTATTGTTGTCCTTCCAGTTTGGTCCTATTAGTTCTTTTAGAAATTCTTTCGTACACCATGCTTCTTTTCCAATGTATTTGTCAAGGAACAATTGGCCAGCTCCGATACTACATCGATCAGAGGACCATTCTGGTGTTAGAACACTGACGATGAAGGCAAATCCATGTTTCCCATGTCGTAGCTTGAGCGCTTTCGAAGCAATTGTCCCTGGAGTTGTGATCATTGGTACTTTTCCAGCAGCATAGTCATGACCTAAAATTTTATGTTCAACATGACCATCATCATAAAATAAGTAATAATCCACACTATCTCCTTCGACTAATATGTGCAAATCATCAGCATAGTCGATTGAATGTAAGTAGTTATATGCTAAATGGGGTTTATTCGGAAGTAAAGATGTTAACATATAATAAATATGACTTTGAGCATGCAATGTTGAATTTGATGGACGTGATGGGATAGATACTTGTAAAGAAGAATTTCCAATGATTTGAAATAAACCACTTTCCAATGGTAACTCGATCAATTTAAATTGCTCAATTATGCCATTCATACGAGTAACAGATTCCTCACTTAAAAATGGTACTACATCACAACCTGTGTGGACACATGCCAGGTCAGGTGTAGTGGATGCAGAAGACATCGAAATGAGATAATTATAGATAAGAAAACAAAAGTACGAAGTTACAATGTAAGTTACAAAAAAGTTAAAATGAATAGAGAACTTATATCAATAAGCAAAGGATATAGCATGCTTATTGGTGAATTTAAAAAGAAGTAAGAGTCACTGTCGATAGGTTTCACTCATCAACATAGTTGATGGGAAAAAGCAAAAGGTTGGTCGCGAAAGACTTAGGGCTTCTAGTGAATGGATTGGAGTAAGAAACAAAAATTCTCGACAAGAATTAATAACTTATAAATAAAGCAAAAACAGAAATGAAAAAAGCGGAACCAAATCTTATATATTCTCTATCTAAGAGAGGATATTGGTATTATCTGTGAGAATAAAATAATCAAAATAATGACTTAATTTTTTTATATTCCTTCCCATTTCGCTTTATTTTCTTTCAACAAAGACAATAATATTTAATATTAAATTTACTTGATTTCAAATCGTATCATTCTAATGTCAACAGAGTCAAAGCGAAATAAATGACATGAACTAGATATACTTGTTGTGGATACAAGCATGAATCTTCTCTTAAACAACACCCACGCCATTCTATTCATTACATTCTCCACACATAACCAGAAATAAACCGCACACTGCTGCCCTACGAGCAACTCGTATATGCTTCTATTCCGAGGATCTCCAGCACGTACTTGACAAAATTAGGGTCATATTCCTTTTGAATATGTATTCCCCAAAGCTCATAGATAGGCACGCAGAACGCTTCTTCCAAGACTTAGCAAAAAAACGCTCGATAAAATTCTTAGAAAAAGATCATCTAAGGTCTCATTTTCTTTCCAGATTGGTTATTAGCCATGCTTTGGAACAACGAACCAATTTTTTTAAACTTCAGAATGCTTAAACAAGAATAATTGGAAAGGTTTTGCCTAATAAATAATTTTAATTGGTCTTCAGGTGCCGTCTTTCCTTTCTTTTCTCCTTTATCTTCGTTCTTTTTGCTCTTATCCTGACAAAATATAAAAATAAAATTATATTCAATTATTTACCATATTCATCTCATCTACATAATAATTAATCAAAATTTTATAAAACTTATAATTATTCTAAAATTACGAATTACACATGTGGATTTGTCAAATGTAAAGAAAGAATTGATAAGTGTAGGTTTCATCAATGCTTCCTAGAAGAATCAAATTGATAGACTAGGAGATGATATCATCATGAGTAGATGAATACAAAAGCGGTTTTTTTTGGCTATAGCTGCTACTGAAGAGTAAAATTTCGAACAATGAATATTTTTCAAATAATTTTGAAGACCTATTCCAGACAAAATCATTAGCAGAAGAATGAAAACTAGCAATGTCTATATACAGACTACTTTTGCCTAGTCAAAATTGAAACATCTTTGAGCACGTAAAAAGAAATCAAGTTTGTCTAAGTTTTAGTTTCGCGTAAGACGTATACATATACATTCCTCAATAAGAAGACTCTCTTTTTTGATTTTCTTAGTCGGGAAAAGTTGTCAGTTTTTGACCGGTTCTGCTCCTGTGATGTACGCTTATATTGGTGAACTAATTGAAGTCATAGGGTGAGCATACAGATCGACTCTATATATAGGCCCGATATTGTAAATATGTCTCAGTGAAGATGTTCAAAAGTGTGCCCAAAAAAAAGTCAAAACATTAATTTCAATGATAGATTACTTTGGGTATTACGTCATTTTTTGGAGAACTTTCGGATAATACACTTTCTAGTTTCATCACAGGTGCAGTTTCTCGAAAAGTTTGATAATGAAAGTTCGAGTTGCTCACTGTTGAAAAGAGACGATCAGACGTTTCAGATATACGAGATTGTAGCACTTGAAGTAGTCTACAAGATGTATAATTAGAAGAGTTTTCCAATAGGTTTCTAAGAATAATTTATAGATATATATATTTGTTTTGACAGAACTCAGTATAGTACTAAAGAATATTTGGCATCAAAACGACCGAAGACATGCCTTTCATGTCGTAGTACGACATTGGAGTAGTAGTTCAGCTTCTAAATATTTCGACATATATGATCTTACTGATACATTTTCTAATTAAAGATAGTATTTTCACAATTCTGACTGTGTACGAATCAATTGTGACTCCAATAACAGTTATCATTAGGACATTTCAGATGTGACGGTAATGAGAATGCGTAATATCAATTTTTACAATCTGATCTTACGCAGTTATTTTATGCTTCAGCAAAATAAATAAAGAATTGGGATTGAGATCGAATGACTCAATAACAATTGATACAAACCGAGATATATTGATACAGATAGTGAAGGGCAAAAGGAATTGATCTCCTATTAAACTCATTTCAACTAAGTTTTAGACAATATGAGTTAAAACTTGATGATATCATATTTCAAGTGCAGTTCAATGGTAAGGGAGAATCAGATTATAATCTCTTCGTAAGATAAAATCGAACAATACGAGTCACGTGCCAATACAATGTGATAGAAATCAAAGGGAATTAGTATAGCTTGTAGTTAGATGAGATGTGTTGATAAACGAAGATGCATAGCTTTCAACTATTGTTCTCGTCATACATTTGGTCCTGTGACTCTCAGAGGTAGTAGCATTTTATTATGTAAAATATCGAGAAAAAAAAACCCATGCTGCAATCCGAACAGCATTGTTCTATGTGACGATGATCAAAGAAACTGATTTTAAGGACACAAATGTACGGTAAATGATTTAAGCATCGGTGTATCAACTGCTTCGGTAATATTCAATCGAACAGCGGTAATCAATTGTGATCCTGCTTCCCACAAATCAATTTTCTTATTACCAATACTGGTACCTGCGGCCATATATATCCATTGATTCTTGTCAAATGAATCTGCTAATTTTACATCAATTGTGTATGCACGGATCACTTGACCAAGAGTTTGATCTTCTTGAATAACTGAACGATCAATAGTTACTGGTGAATCAAACAGTTGAATATGTATTCGTCCATCGGCTGATGAATTTCGAAGAATAGGTACAATAGAAGTACCATAACATGAACGAATAAAATCGCCCAATTCTTTGTAACGAAGAGCATACGCAGGTGGAATGAGACCGGTTCGGTCAGGTGTTAGATCAAGCATTAACATACAATTATGACCGACTGAACGATGATAAACATCGATTAGTTCTTTAAGACTACGAAGTAATACGTGTGGACCCTGACACAAAAATCAATTAGAATGATCTACCGATGTTTTTAGCCGAATTCGATTCTTACCCAAAACCATCGATCGAATTGTTGAAGTGTTGTATCGCATTCTGCTGGACTAAAGATAGGACTGTTAGGATCGCCACCATTTACCAGACCAGTGGACCAATTTGGATCAGGTGCATGACCCAGTTCATTACCAATCCAACGAATAGGGTTTCGTGTTACACCATATCCGCCGAAGATGATAGAATCAGGTTGAAGTTCGCTTACCATCGCAGCGATCAAATCATGTAACTCTGCGGTATAACTAAAAAGATTTAAAATTCGAATTCAACAAACTTTATACTTGTCAAGTAATTCACCCTCCATCGAACCAAATCTCCTCAAGTTTACCGTAGTTCTTCCACAATTCTCTCAATTGTTGCACTACAATATTATCATAGGTCTGTTGGGTAATATTCAGTTGACCCACTTTCAATGTGTCATTTTGAACCTATCCATACAAATAACATTTTCATTGGATTAAGAACTTAACACAAAGAAAAATCAACGAACCAAACCCTGTTTCACATTCAGATAATTATTGCTAACAATCGAATAGTAAAAACCTGGTCGTATTTGTCGCTTGTTACAACTCTTGATGAATTCATCGAGAATATTTACACCTTTGACAGGTGAATAGTCAACAGTATAATTATATGGAACAATACGACCAGATGGACTCAATGGGAATGTAACGTTTGTTGGTGCCATTAGAAAACCACAAGTATGCTAGAATACAATGAAAGAATACGTATGGCATATTCAACTATAAATGTTTACTTTAGCAACCAGTACAGCATATTTAGCTTCGAGGTCAATCATTGTTTGAACCCAATTATTCGTATTCAATCGATATGGATTAAATAGAGAAATTGGCGGAACAACATCGCCTGTACATCCGTTATGATTCTCAACATAGGTTGCCATGTTGAAATGAATTAAAACACCGATCTCTTGTGCTTGCCAGTCGAGTTGTTTGGGCGCTATCAAGTATAAGAATATTAACAATAAGCCATTGGTCTTTTGTTGTTTTCGTGGAAACGATAAAACAAAACACAGGTTCACTTACTCGGTAAAGCAATGCGCACACCCGTCAACGGTGATATCCGGTAGAGACTCGATTGCAGTGAAGAATATTGTTGATGGTGATGGTACAGTGATAATCGGCCATCAATAACTCCGAATAACACCAGTAAGAGAGTAATCGACAGACGCATGATGTATGAAAAGAAGAGGCTCACCTGTAGTTATCTGTCTCGATTTTATCTAGAAAAGAAATACACGTTTGCCTTTCTGATAAGAATTAAGCGAGCACAAGACTTGCATGTTCCTACCGCACTAATAAAAGATTGTTTAGAAGTAGGACTCAGAAGAAAACAAAAGAAATATCATTTTACTCACCCGGCCCAATTAGGGATAGTGATTCGTCATTAAACCGAATCAGAGTCTAGTGATGATGATAAATCATTTATTGCCTCATCTAATAAAGAAACATTTACCAAAATTGTTGATATAGTGAAGGTATCATCAAATAAACGTATGTAAATTTTATGGTAATTTAATAACAATAATCGATTTGCACATTTAATATAATAGAACCATTATTTTAAAAAAATCAATAAAATAAGAGAAAAATAGTCTTCGTTCAAAACAAATTTTCTCAGCACAGGCACGCATAGCATAGCTGATCTTATCATGAATGAAGTATTCAATTATAAGCTTCAGATTGATACTAATATAGATAGAATCTAAGCAGGCATACTTCATTT